GCCAGGCCATTGGGTCCAAATTATTTGAAGCATAATTCATTCAGATCATATACTTTTATACTTTTACTGATTTTTCTGATTCACGTGTCCAGCCTTGTTGATGAGAACTAAGTGTTTCTGTCTCTCATTTTGACATTTGATGTCTCTGTGTTAATCTCTCTCTCTCTTTCCATGTTAATGAACAGTTACTCGGAGATGGCAAGAACCGCAGATGCTGGTGTCAGAGTCAATACAGTGTGGAGCTGGAGGCATCTTCTGCTCAGATGAAGGGTGTAAACCTGAACCGTTGACTTTCCTGCTCCTCTAATGTTGCCTGACCTGCTGCGTTCCTCCAGCTCCACACTGCATGAACCGAATAGTTAAATCCTTACGCATTCAATTACTGCACCCAAACAGAAGACCATTTGGCCCCTCATGCTCCCTGCTTGTGCTCCACACCAGCCTCCTTCCATTCTCACTTCAAATTTGTCCTTCAAATCCTTTCTTCTTGTAATTACTATCCAGCTCCTCCTTAAGTCCATCTAAAATACTCAGCTTAACCACGCTGTTAGAGTGGATTTCAAATCCTAACCACTCTCTGGGTGTATTTCTAGTTTACTCTAAGCAGCCACTTTCTTACCTCCCATGTCCAGCAGCTCAGCTGTATGCCAGAGATGCAGACAGTTCTAGCAGCATCTACAGGGAGAGCAATAGCAATAGTGTTAGTGTTCCAGGTTTGAGATATTTTACCCTCTGAGTATTTCTAGCATTTTCTTTCTTTTGAGTTGCAGCATTTTACGTTGATACAAACAGTTCCATTTCTTTATCCCAATTATTTTGGTTTAGACCACAGAGTGAAGCTTCCACTTCCTGGACATTTTGGCACACAGTATAGAATCATAGAAACAGGCCTTTCAGCCCACCATTTGTATGCTGACTGACAAACACCAAACTACACTGATCCCATTTACCTGCACTTGATCCAAAGCATACAATGCACTGGCATTTTAAGTGCTTGTCCAGATGCCTCTTAAACATTGTGAGAGCATCTGCCTCCACCACCCTATCAGACAGCATGTTCCATTATCTGCCATCTTCTGTGTGAAAAGAATTTCCTCAGATCCCTACTTATTCCTCACCTTAAACTTGTGCCCTCTCATCTTTGATACGTCTGCATGGGGAAGAGATTCTCAATCTCCTCTGTCTTTATCTCTCACAATCAGATTCCCCCTGAGCCTCCTCTGTGCCAAGGAAAATAAACCCAGCTTATCCAGACTCACTTCATAACTGAGGCTTTACATCCCGGACAACATCCTGGCGAATCTCCTTTGCACCTTCTCCCATGCAAACAGGTCCTTCCTATAGTATAGCAACCAGAACTGCACATAGTATTCCAGTCATAGGGAAAATGTTAGAAGCTGCTTTAACAGGTTACTTGGATAAGTTCAAGGTAATAAGGTTGTGACACTTGGTTGTACCGAAAGTAAATCATGTCTGAGAGTAAGTTATTGGAGTTGTTGGGAAAAATTATGATCTGGCCAGGAGCATGGACAACAGTCAGCTATTCAGCTCCTTGACTGTTGTACATCAGGAGAAAAGATGCATTGCTTGATTCAGTTCAGGAAAGTGAAGTGTGTTGAGTGAATAGGTCTGAGGAAGAGTCCTGTTAGACCAGAAGCTTTGGAGCAATATGAAAAGGGAGAGCCGTGTACACAATTTCACAAGCGGCTGGAGATGGAGGGGAATCTTTGACATTTTACTGTAGCATAACTTTGTAAGTATTTATGGTAAAAGTTTGAAATAGTCAATAAAATAAAATGTTTATCGATCCCCTGATCGAAAAACCTATGGCAGATTAATGCCCAGTAGTGTTATTCGTTGGTTTGTGATCTGTTTTGTAGTGATGTGTATTGTGTCATTTTAAGGTGGCTGTTTGTACTACGTGGGACCAAAGAAGGATGAGAAGAGAGAAGTGGTGGCAGATCGTGAGAAGCGACGACAGATATTCCTGGAATGTCATTTCTCTGATATTGGCTGTCATCTGGGCCAGAAAAAGACCGCACACAGAATTCAAAGCCGATATTATTGGTTGGGGATTGTAAAGGATGTTGTCGACTGGGTAAGTGAAAAAGAATCAGTAATCTCCCATTTCTTGTCTTTAAAATTAAGTTCTTGCAACAGAATTTTGCAGCTCAGAAAAGGGCTGTTTGGCGCATTGTGTCTTTGCTGGATTTTTGGAAGAGTCACCCTGTTACCCCATTTATTCCCTGTCAGGGGATCTGCTGTCGTGGTATGCCACACTCATCTGTCTTGTGCCATTCTCACAACCCATTGTCACACATCTGCAACTGCTCTGTGACATCTGTCATCCATTTATATCCAGGCCTACCCACTTTCTGCTGCCCTCCACTTCTCCTGTAGGAGAGATTTCTGTATCTTTTCGGCTCTGATCAAGTGACCAAAATACTGACACAATCTTTTCTTGAATGTCGCTTTTAGAGTTCCCCTTGTTCTTCAATTTCGAGAATCTCTTCATTTGTCTTTTGATCTTGCAAGTGTTCTTCCTTTCAAGTATTTATCCAATTGCCTCCTGAAAGTTTCTGTTGAATCTGCTTCCACCCCAGTTTGAGGCAGCATCTTCTAGATCATATCTCACTGTGTTAAAGAAAAACTCTTAGCGACCACGCCCTTCCTCCCCCCACCCCAAACTCCCACTACTTCTTATGGCAATTATCCAAAATGTTATGTCCTTTAAATATATAGCTCCTGTGTTAATTAAAACAGTTTCTCCTTATTTATTCACGAATCTGATCAAATTAATCGAGAAGCTTATCTATTCAAAGACTAATTGCACCTTCTGCAATCTCTCAACGTAACTTTTTGTGCAAGCTTTTCTCTAAAGTGTCTATATTTAACTGTTGATTTGTTGAGAAGTGATTTTCCCAAGGGACTGTTTCTGATTTTTGTGTTGGAACTGTAGATTAAAATGTGTGAAACCTGCCAGCATGCAGAACACTACAAGAACGTGAACCGCAAACTCCCACTCTTGAAAGTAACCAGACCGTGGGAAATTCTCGTCTTTGATCTCATTGGTGAGGCAGCTTTTCAGTTGTGGATTGTTCCCTGATGTTTGCTTTCTATAAGTAAACTGATAGAGTACAAGAGCAAGAGGTGATGTTCAAGTTGTATATGACACTCATTAGACCTCAGCTGGAATACTGTGTATAGTTGTAGATATCACCTTAGGAAAGATGTGAACATATTGGAGAGGCTGCAGAAACTACTAGGATACTAAACTTACTCGAATGGTTCCAGGCATGAAAAACATCAATGATGAGGGTAGGTTGGAAGAAGTTGGGACTGTTCACCTTGGAGAGAAGGCGATGGAGAGGAGATTAATTTGATAAAAGTTTTCAAAATCTTGAATAGGCTGAATAAAAGGAAGAAGAGTCAAGGTGTGCAGATTTAAAATGATCCGAAACCGAAATTGAAGTTAGGAGAAACTTTTTTTTATCAAGTTATTAGGATAAGGAACTTCTGTCTGCAAATGTGGTAGAAGCAGGTTCAGTTCAGGTATTCAAAATGGTATTAGGTGATTATTTGGATAGGAATAGTGTGCAGGGATATGGGGAGAAAGCAGCAGATTGGCACGAGATAATGATGCTGGTTAAATGAGCTGGTACAGGCACAATGGGCCAAATGGCCTCCTCCTGCACTGTAACAATTCTATGATTCTGCCTCACTGTCCTTACAGGTCCATTCCCAGAAACCACCTGTGGAAATACCTATGTACTGATGGTTACTGACTATTTCACAAAGTGGGTTGAAGCCATTCCAATACAGAAGAAAGATGCTTTGTCAGTAGCCAAGGGGTTGGCTGCCACTTTTTACAGGTATACTCTTCAAAATGTGTTGATCTGTCTGCTCTTTCCTGTGTTCTCAACATGAGATATTTGTTTTTTCTCTAGGAGAGTAAATTTCTCATTGTCATTGGGGATGAGTGGAAGTTTACTCTTGAATCAGTGTCTGGGATGTGCCCCTCAGAGCCAGGGGATAATGGTCCATTCAAAGCACCCATTGCTTTTCACATAACACAAGCTGCAAATGCAGGTCTTAAATCTCTCATTTTAGGACTTACTCAGCTTTGGGGTAAAGTTCTTTTGGAATCCTCCAGACACACAAAAACAATACAGGGATGATGAGGTTGTTCTATAAGGAGATGCAATTGATGTTTCCAGATGTTTAGGAGAAGGTAGGTAACCTCGTTGAAACACACAAAATGTAGAAAGAGACTTAACGTGATAGACCCTGATGGGGCTGTTCCCTCGTCCACCCCTGACTGGAATGCAGGATCATAGATTAGGGTCACCCATGTAGAATTGAGTTTAGGCAAAATGTCCTCCAGTGGATTGTGCACCATTGGAATTCTTTACCAAAGGCTGAGTAGATGCTCCGTTGCTGAACATATTCAGAATTGAAATGGCTAGATCCTTGGGCACTAAATTAATTGAAGGATGGGGTTCAGGCAGGGATTGGATTTGATGTAGAAGATCAGCCATGATCTTATTGAATGTCAGAGAGGGCTCAAAGTACCCAATGGAGATATTCCTGTTTCTTTTCCTAAAATCCAAAACAAGATGAAGCCATGAGTTGGATATCTCACTTAACTGGGTTTTATGGCCCTGTTTGCAGGAGCTCAAAAAATCTCAATAGCCCTCAGACTGTGCAAGGACTACCAAGGATGCTGGTTACATCCTATGCTGTCCTCAGTTATCCTGTTTTATTAGCTTTCAAACTGCAGTTCAAAAAATATTTTACTATTTTGTTCTGCTTGCTAACATTTTTAGAAATTGGTAACATTTACACCATGATATCTGTGAACACTGTTTAGTTATGCCATCTTCCTTGTGACTGTTTTCTGAGGTAGTTGATGCTGATGGGCCGTAATCATAATGGTAGCAGCAGCAGAAGCGTTTCTTCGTTCTGCTGGGCTTGCATCTAAATCTAGTACTTCCCTTCATCAATTGGTGCTATTTGATCTCTTTATCCCCACATCAATCATTCGCTTCATGAAATGTTATTTATTTATTTGTTACAGGTTTGGGGCTTCAAGAGACATATTCTCCAGTGAAAGCAGAGTATTTTGTGATGAGGTAATGTGTATTTTCAGTCTCTCGTATGGTTCATGTATCTGTCTGTGCGTATCTGTCTGCATGTCTATGTGATTACATAGACACCAGATGAAAACTGAAGATTGGTTAAATTGGGCTTTCAGTCATCATAAGTGTATCTCAACAAAGTCAACATTTTCCTTCTGTCTTTCCCCCAGCCACCTGATGGGCAGTGTGACTAGTATGCACTTAATTACGATGAATGACATGGTCTGGCCTCTAGCTGGATAAAGCTCTGTTCGAAATAACAGAGAATCATAATCAGGAAATAGATATTTGAATCTTCTCTGCAATTCGTAGCTGTTCTGACTGTGGCCTCAGTTCCATCTTCCTGTCTTCCCTTCATTTCCCTGAAATCACTTGTTCATTAGAAATCTGTCCAGTTTTCAAAAGAAGGGTCACCGGACTCAAAACATTAACTCTGTTATCTCTCCACAGATGCTGCAAAACCTGCAGTTTGTCCAGCATTTTCTGGTTTTGTCTGATCACAATTTTTAATTTAAAACAATGTATTTTACCAAACACACTAAAGGGAAATGGAGACAAGGTGAATGGATGGAGTTAGGTCACAGATCAGCCATGATCTCATTCTCTGGCCATACAGGATCAAGGGGCTGAATGGACTCCTCGTGTTCCTATGTCCAGTGGGATTTTTGTACCTTACAATTATTAAGAGCTTCCTGTACATCAATTTTCTATTACGTTCTTTCTCCCCTCTCCTGTACCAATGTAAAAACATGCCTCTTGACATTGTGTACATTCCACAGATCGTGAATTTGAAATCACAACATTAATTTGATCTATTGTTTTCCTCCAATCAGCATAGTTTTCCAGTCCTAGGAGAGGATTCTAGATTCCGAGGAGAAAATTGCCTGGTTTTCTGGTTTCTCACTGAGCAGTTTTGTACATATTCAATGGAACAATTTTTATTGAAGTATTATGGTTTTGTCCTTGGCCCATTAGAGGCAGCAGCGTGTCTCAGTGGTTAGCACTGCTGCCTCACAGCAGCGGGAACATGCGTGGGTCTGAGCAGGATGCACTTCAGAGAGTCAGTGTGGACTCGATGGGCTAATGACCTGCTTCAACACTGTAGGGATTCTGTGATTTTTTTTCAGCGTCTGAAATGTTTATTGTAGTGCTGGGGTAGAATGAGTGCTTCTTTAGCCTTACATCCTAAACATTTGCTTCACTTACTTCTCATAGGTTAACAAAAACCTGTTTGAAAGATGGAACATTAATCACAAAGTGACTCCCGCTGAACACTTGCAGCACGCAGGACTCGATGACAGAACCAATGAAATATTAAAAGCAGCAATTAGAAATACAGTAAAATCCAAGCAGACCGAGTGGGATGACTGCTTGGACCCTGTTCTGTTTGAGTTTCGGACATCAGTAAACTCAAGTACTAAGTTTACACCTTTTTTTCTACTTTATAATCGTGAAGCACAGCTGTCATCTGAGGTAGGATTGTGACTGCTGTCGTCCTCCAGTTACTATGAAGCAATTACAGGTTGCTAATTAATTTTTAAACGTGGTGCTACAAGATCTTTCCTTGCTAATCTCCGCGAGGGATTCTGACCAAAGGTCTTTGATCTGAAACATTAAATCGACAATTTTTGCTGTGCAGGTGCTACCTGACCTACTGAGAGTTGCCAGCATTTTGTTTTTGTTACACTGATGCACACTAACACCTTAGTGCACTGGAATGAATTAGAGGGTGTTCTAAATTGTTACCTGGATGTGGTAAGGGAGAATCTGAGCTTGGAGACCATTGAGAGACCATCCCAAGATGGGGTTTTGTTCCATTTCCCTTAGTATGTTCTGCAAAATTGAGGTCTCACTCCAAGCTTGATAACTTGCCATGAGTACCAGAAGCTTCATGCAGTCAAGAAACACAGGCCAGCAATGACTGGATGAAAGTTTGAAATGCTGTGAATTGTTCCAAAAAGCTCAAACAGCTTTTAGTGACAGAGGTGACGAGTTCTTGACCAAATCTAGTGGAGGATGGTCTAGTACTGCACAAAATATGTGCTGTGGTGTCAAAACCGCTATGTCTTGGATGATGTCTTAAACTGGGGCCCCACCTGCTTTTTCAGATGGACGTAAAAGATCCCACAGCCACTATTTCAAAGAAACTTTAGCTGTTTACATTGTTATTTTGAAAACCTCCATCAAAATCACTGTTTAATTTTCTAAATCCTGGGGAGTGCAATTTCAGTTCCTGGTAATTTAACCTTTTGGATCCAGGTATTATTCTGGTGAATCTACACTGCTTCTTCCAAGACTGATACATCTTTCATAATGTGTGCTCCATATAACTGCCTGCAATAACTCCAGATCTCTGTACAGCTGAAGCATGACTCCCACCTCATTGTAATCTGGTCTTTTACATATAAAAGCTAGAATTCCTTTGGAATATTTGATTACTTTCTGTATTAGCTTTTGAAACTTCAAAGATCTATGTATTTGGAGACCCCAAGTCTCTTTGGGCCTCCTCTGTTGTATCTGATTAAGATTCAAAGCAGGTGAACTCATATCTTTCTGTATTGAAATCCCTTTATCATAGTTTTGCCCATTCATCTAAGCCGGCACAGTCTTGTAATAATTTTATGCTTCTGCCTGCAATGTTTACTCGACTACCTTTCTTTGTGTCATTAACAGATTTGGATATTAGGTTTCTATTTTATCATCTGGATTGTGGATACATGCAGTGAGTGGTTGAGTCCCCAACACTGATCCTTGTAAGGTCCTGCCCAATATCACAGCTCTGACTTTTTCCACACACCCAGTAACCTAAACAGGTCAATAATTTTTCTGGAATTCTACAAGCTTTTACCTTAGCTAATATTCAGATGCCCTCAGAAAGTCAGTATAAGTGACATCTGTAGACATTGCCTTGTTCTTTGTTTTGGTTGCTTCTTGAAAATATTTAATCAGGTTCACTATTGCTTGACTTACCTTTACATAGCCATGCCCTCTCTGATCAGCTCAGTCTAACCTTAAAAATGAACTCCAGTAAATTCTCAGTAAGAGATATTGGGCTAATAAGCATAAGTTAAAAGCTGAACAAAACAGCTGAACTCCAAAGGCGAGGTGAGAGTGACCACCTTTGACCTGAAGGCTGCATTTGACCAAGTGCGACATCAACAACATGTGATTAGGTCAACAGCATCCTGTACAAAGCAGCCTATTTAACTAATCCAACAACCACAAACATTCACTTCTTCCACCGCCGACGCTCAGTAGCAGCAGTGTATACTGTCTGCAAGATGCACTTGGCTCCTTCAACATCATCTTCCAAACCCACAGCCACTTCCACCTAGAAGGACAAGGGCAGCAGATACATGGAAACAACCACCCCCTGCAAGTTCCCCTTTAAGCCACTCAACATCCTGACTTGGAAATATATTGCCATTCCTTCAGTGCCGCTGGGTCAAAATCCTGGAATTCCCTCCCTGAGGTCATTGTGAGTCTACCTCCAGCACATGGACTGTAGCGGTTCAAGAAGGCAGCTCACCACCACCTTCTCAAGGGGCAGCTAGGGTCAGGCAATAAGCGCCGAGCCAGCCGGTGACACCCACGTCCCATGAATGCATAAAGGTTGTTACTTTATTATTTATTGTATGTTTTATATTTGTAGTAGATTTAAGAAAGAAGTTTGAACCACACCACATATCGGTTAAATATCCTTAAATGTTTATGTTTATGTGTTTTCAGGGAAAACTTGAAATTGCTCATGTGTACAGGTCACCAGAAACTTGTGGCATCAAAACAGAAAGCGTAGACGAGTTTACCAGCTCTGTGAGTGAGCAGCAAAATGCAGTTAAAGAAATGGTAAGTTAGAGAACTTGACACATGGCTCGTCCTAGGCCACAGCTTAGTTAGTTTCCATTTGATTGTTGGTATCAGTTAGTAAAGACCTGGACACGGGAATAAGCCTAAATATTTTGATGGTTGCTGCACCAAAGGAACAGTCAAGATCATCTACAACATTAATAAGCCAAGGGAGGTCTAGATGCGTTGAGTTTTATTCAGGCAAAATCACAGTTAAAATATGAGTGTTACATCAAAATATCATTGGGCAATAATTTTTCTAACTTCTCTCTAGTTTAAGGTAGATATAAAATAGTGAATGGTTAATCAATAAAGGTGGATCGTGCTATTAATATTTACAGTTAACATTTAAGACAGAAAAAGCTGCCGAAAATTGACTATTTTTTGGAAAGGCATTTGTAAATCTTTAAGGCTATATCATTGTTACCGATGTCCCTACAGATTTACTCGTAGCTCTTTTTCATCTTTTCTAAGTACAATTCAAATTAGAGTTAAGAGAAATGTTTTGGTATTATAGTTTCAGTAAACATGCCTGGTAATTAATATAATTTTCATATTTATATTCATAATTTTTGGCTGCTTATTCCTGTGGAGAAGTAGCAGTTTCAGTAGCTGCTTTGTGTGGCTGTGTGAAATGATGCGCAAGAAAGATTTTTAGTTTGGTGGGGCTGCATATAGAACAGCACCTCTCAGGGCAAACACATTGTACATGCACAAATGTCCTAATGGCTTTAGAGATAGTAGGAACTGCAGATGCTGGAGAATCCGAGACAACAAGGTGCAGGGCTGGATGAACACAGCAGGCCAAGCAGCATCATAGGAGCAGAGAGGCTTTTTGACGTTTCGGGCCTAGACCCTTCATCAGAAAAGGGGGAGGGGAAGGGGGTTTTGAAATAAATAGGGAGAGAGTGGGAGGCGGATAGAAGAGGGATAGAGGAGAGGATAGGTGCAGCCTCTCTGCTCCTATGTTCCTAATGGCTTTAGTTTGAAACAGGTTGAAGGAGTTCTGTGTGTTAGAGACATCTTAGTGACTGAAACTCCCATTTAATGCAGACTTCCTCCCAATTTCCCCAACCATGCAGTAAACAAATGGATCTATGCATAGCTTACTAAATACATCTATATTTGAGGAAGAATTAATGAACCTAGATGTTAGCTATTTACTGAACTCTGACAGATGAACTGTATCTTATTTTCACATCTGCCATAAAACCTTTCTGAAAAATTAGCATTTCACTGCTGACTTTGAGATGGGTTGATGTCGGAAGTATTAAACAGGAAAGTGACAGTGTTTGTCTCCTTAGGTGATTGCTAACATGGCTGCAGCTCACAAACAGGAAAAGAAGAATGAAAAGAGGAAAGCCAGAAAAGGAACTGGGTTCACTGCCAGCAAGGAAGTGTATCCAGGAAACACCAACCCAACAACTAAAAAGCACAAGAAAAGTCACTTTGTTTCTTTCCAAATTGAAACAACCTTGTCCTCCGAGCACAGTGTGAACAGTGGGGTGGCGTGAAATGACTTTTCGTTGATATATGGCCCAGCAACTGAAGGAGAGAAACTTTACAAATGGATCCTCCTTGGAATGGCATTTCAACAATGGTGTAAGGAACAGTGAGAAATTGAACACAGCCCTGAGACTCAGTGCTGTAATGTGCCAAGCTGACCAAATGCCATCTGTGAGGTTGAGTATGAATCAGATCAAAACATTTTGCATCAGAATTATTTTATACACACACAGCATTAACTGTTGAAAGCAAAATGTTGCAGATGCTGTTCATTCATTAACTGTTTGATCATTGTGCTGAGTTTGGTTTACAATTTGCACCATGTAAACATTTAATACCTACTAAAATCATCACTGTAAAGTTGTGCTGTATGCGATTTAAGGAGTGTTTCAGTAAATTTGCAGAAATACATATTATCATTTCAGAAACCGAAACAGTCTACTACCGAGTTTAAAAATTTCACTGAAGTCATCAGACCTTGTGCTGAATCCACATCAACTACTGGAATTATCTCACCTTTAGCTGGACTTCTTCCAAATTACACAAAGATGCGAGGGGGAGAGAGAGAGATGGAGAATAAGATGGACAAACATAGGAAGAACTGTGTGCTCCTAACGCTGAAATTGGATACTGTAGCAGAGCTGATGTCAAACATCCAGATTGGCTGAAGGGAAGCAAAGTCCTTCCATGTCCTAGTCCCCTACCCAACACACCAGACCTTGTTATCACATACCCTGCCCTTACACACTATTTATTGTTAGTCACTAACAGTCTTTATTAACAGCAATTCACCCTCCTAGCCAAATCATTATCAACTCCTATGTCTATCCAACTGCACTTCTCTCTCTTTGGGCTCTGTCCTATCATTTACTCCCTACCTCGTCCCCCTCCCTATTTTCTGCCAGTGTTTGCCAGCTATCATCAGTTCTGAGGAAGGGTCACCGGACCCAAAACATTAACTCTGATTTGTTTTTTTCACAGATGCTGCCAGACCTGCTGAGCTTTTCCAGCAACTTCTGTTTTTGTTAAAGTCACAGGTAGACAGGGTAGTGAAGGCGGCGTTTGGTATGCTTGCCTTTATTGGTCAGAACATCGAGTGTAGGAGTTGGGGAGGTCATGTTGCAGGTGTACAGGACATTGGTCAGGCCACTTTTTGGAATACTGTGTTCAATTCTGGTCTCCCTGCTATAGAAAAGATGTTGTTAAACTTGTAAGCATTCATAAAAATTTATGAGGATGTTGCCAAGGTTGGGGGGTTTGAGCTATAGGGAGAGGCTGGATAAGCTGGGGCCATTTTCCCTGGAGCGTTTGAGGCTGAAGGGCAATCTTTATAGAAGTTTATAAATTCATAAGGGGTATGGATAGGGTAAGTAGACAAGATCTTTTCCCCAGGGTAAGTAAGTCCAAAACTAGAGGTTTAAGGTGAGGGGGGAAAAGATTTAAAAGGGATCTAAGGGGCAACTTTTTCATGCAGAGGGTGGTGCATGTATGGAATGAGCTACCTGAGGAAGTGGTGGAGGCTGGTACAATTACAACATTTAAAACACATCTGGATGGGTACATGAATAGGAAGGGTTCAGAGGATATGGGCCAAATGCTGGCATATGGGACCAGATTAATTTAGGATATCTGGTTAGCATGGAAAAGTTGGACCGAGGAGTCTGTTTCTGTGCTGCGCACCTCTATGACTCTATATAACGCACTGGTACCTGTTTACCCCTCCCTGCCCAGGCTCTGCACCACATCTATCTGCTGTCCCCCATTGAAATCATGTGAAAACAGCATGAATTCTACATGGCCACTACAATATCATCCAGTTCTACCTCACCATGATCTGTTTAATCCATGCACACGAAGTTGTCAGACAGTTTATTTGACACTGACTACTGGAGAAACAGAATTTTCCTCCACTGATTTTTGGGAAGTCTGTGAAATCATTATCATTGATTCTCTCCCCCACAAAATCCTGTTCATCACCAACCGCTCCATTCTGCTCTCTAGCGGCTGTCTCACGTTAAACCAGACTCTTCACAACCTCAGTCTCATCTGACTTCAGGATGACCTTCCAACAATATATCCATACTATCAATATCCACCTTGGAATGTCATCCAACTCTACCCCAACCTGTCTCCTTTGCTGCTCTCGCCATCTCTGAAGGCAACTGTCCCAGCACAGTCCTATCAAACTTCCATCTCCATCCTTGGTCCACCTCCATCCTTGGTGAACCTCATCTAAACCTCTGCCATTCATATTCTGACTCATGTCAAGTCCTGCTGTCCACCTCACCCTCTGCTCACTGACCTACATTAGCTTCTGGCTGTGGTTTTGACACACTCATCTGTTTTCAAGTCTTTCCATGGCCTCGCTTCTCCTTATCACTAATCTTGTCCAGCCCCACAAACCTCTGCGCCCCGCCCATTCTAACTTGTTGCTGACCGACATTAATCGTTCCACCGTCATGTTGATGGCCGATTGGGTCCTAAGCTGTGGAAGTCCTTCCCTAAAGCTCTCTGCCTCTCTTTGCTCCTTTAAGACTCCCCTTAAAAGCTACCTGTTTGGCCAAGCTTTTGGTCACCTTTCAAATATTACGTGGCTCAGTGTTCAATTCTGTTTGGTTAAGTTTTTCATTCAATAAGGTGCCACATAAAAGGTTATTCCAGAAGAAAGGAGCTCACGGTGATTGAAGTAATGCATTAACATGGATTGAAGATTCTTTAACACAAAGAAGACAAGGAGTTAGGTTTAATGTTTAATGGTCATTTTCGAGTTGAAACAACATAACTAGTGGAGTGCAGCAAGGATCAGTTCTGTGGCCTCAATTAAATACTGTCTATATTAATGACCTGGAGGAGGGGCAGTGTGTAAGTTACAAAATGAAGTGGTTTGACATGTTGTGATGAGGAATTTGCAAGGGGCTATAGATAAGTTGAGTGAGTGGGCAAAAATTTGGCAGATGAAATCTTTGTAGGAGAGTGAGGTCATGCACTTTGGTAGGAAGAGTTTAAAAAAAGCACATTTTTAGTTTAAATGGAGAGAGTCCAAAATAGTGCAGCACAGACAAATCTAGATACGTTTTTCTATCAAACAAAAAGTCATCATGCAGGTGCAGCAAGTAATTAAAGAGGCAAATAGAATTTTGGCCTTTATTGCTTTGGCGGGGGGGCTGGAGTTTTAAAACATAGGGAAGTCTTGTTGCAAGTGTACAGGGTGTTGGTGAAGCCACACTGAGTATGTGCAGAGCTTCGTTCCCTGTATTTAGTTGTTCAGTTGTTTCAGGGGCGGGAGTCCGGGAGGAAGCGCGAGGGCAGCCTGGGAAGGTAAGCTTTTTCGATTATAAAAGTCTTACCTCGCGTGACTCCATTTTTGAAGTGAGTAAGTGAGGTAATATATTTGGGCGGTTGCTTTACCCGAAACACTACCTAAGTAGTGTCTCCCACCCATCCTCCTCCTCTAACCAAAAATAAAAGGTTCTGAGCGCTGATTTGGTAAGGCTACTAGTATTTTTTTTTTTAATTTGTCTGTTTGGGAATTCAGAACAGTGGGAATGGATGTTAGGGCAGTTGTATGCTCCTCCTGTAGAATGTGGGAGGTAAGGGTCACCACTAGTGTCCCCACTGACTTCATCTGCGGGAAGTGCACCCAACTCCAGCTCCTCGGAAACCGTGTTAGGGAGCTGGAGCTGGATGAACTTCGGATCGTTCGGGAGGCTGAGGGGGTAATTGAGAGGAGTTACGGGGAGGTAGTCACACCTCAGGTACAGAAAGAAAGTAGATGGGTTACAGTCAGGGGACGGAAAGGGAACAGGCAGACAGTGCAGGGATCCCCTGTGGCCGTTCCCCTCAAAAACAAGTATACCGTTTTGGATACTGTTGGGGGGGATGACTTACCAGGGGTAAGCCATGGGGTCCAGGTCTCTGGCACAGAGTCTGTCCCTGTTGCTCAGAAGGGAAGCGGGGAGAGGAGGAGAGCATTAGTCATTGGGGACTCCATAGTTAGGGGGACAGATAGGAGATTCTGTGGGAACGAGAGAGACTCGCGGTTGGTGTGTTGCCTCCCAGGTGCCAGGGTCCGTGATGTCTCGGATCGTGTTTTCGGGATCCTTAAGGGGGAGGGGGAGCAGCCCCAAGTCGTGGTCCACATAGGCACCAATGACATAGGTAGGAAAAGGGATGGGGACGTAAGGCAGAAATTCAAGGAGCTAGGGTGGAAGCTTAGAGCTAGAACAAACAGAGTTGTTATCTCTGGTTTGTTACCCTTACCACGTGCTAGCGAGGCGAGGAATAGGGAGAGAAAGCAATTGAATATGTGGCTACAGGGATGGTGCAGGAGGGAGGGATTCAGATACCTGGATAATTGGGGCTCATTCTGGGGTAGATGGGACCTCTACAAACGGGATAGTCTACACCTGAACCAGAGGGGTACCAATATCCTGGGGGGGAAATTTGCTAATGCTCTTCGAGAGGGTTTAAACTAATTCAACAGGGGGGTGGGAACCTGAATTGTAGCACCATGCTTCAGGAGGTTGAGAGTAGTGAGGTCATAAATAAGGTTTCAAGGTCGCAGGAGTGTACCGGCAGGCAGGAAGGTGGTTTGTCTACTTCAATGCCAGGAGCATCCGGAATAAGATGGGTGAACTTGCAGCATGGGTTGGTACCTGGGACTTCGATGTTGTGGCCATTTCGGAGACATGGATAGAGCAGGGACAGGAATGGTTGTTGCAGGTTCCGGGGTTTAGATGTTTCAGTAAGATCAGGGAAGGTGGTAAAAGAGGGGGAGGTGTGGCATTGTTAGTCAAGGACAGTATTACGGTGGCAGAAAGAACACTTGATGACAACTCGTCTACTGAGGTAGTATGGGCTGAGGTTAGAACCAGGAAAGGAGAGGTCACCCTGTTGGGAGTTTTCTATAGGCCTCCGAAAAGTTCCAGAGATGTAGAGGAAAAGATTGCAAAGATGATTCTGGATAGGAGTGAAAGTAACAGGGTAGTTGTTATGGGGGACTTTAACTTTCCAAATATTGACTGGAAACGCTACAGTTCGAGGACTTCAGATGGGTCAGTTTTTGTCCAATGTGTGCAGGAGGGTTTCCTGACACAGTATGTAGATAGGCCAACAAGAGGCGAGGCCACATTGGATTTGGTACTGGGTAATGAACCAGGCCAGGTGTTAGATTTGGAGGTAGGAGAGCCCTTTGGTGATAGTGACCACAATTCAGTTACGTTTACTTTAGTGATGGAAAGGGATCGGTATATAAAGCAGGGCAAGAGTTACAGCTGGGGGAAAGGCAATTATGAGGCGATGAGGCAAGATTTAGGATGCATAGGATGGAGAAGGAAACTGCAGGGGCTGGGCACAATTGAAATGTGGAGCTTGTTCAAGGAACAGCTACTGCATGTCCTTGAGAAGTATGTACCTGTCAGGCAGGGAGGAAGTG